GAAAGGAAAAAATATGAAAAGAGGGAAAAAATGGAAACAAGGTCTTTGCAAATAGGGAAGGGTGCAGGTGGTGAAGGGAGGGCAAGGGAAGGGGAAAAAATAAGAACCGAGATACTCATGTAAAGGTACAAGATCCCAGTGATGAATGTAACTGTATTTTATACCGAAAATGTACCGATAAACTTAACGGGGAAAAAAACAACCCACACACACACACACAAAAAGAAAGAAACTGATTGTTGTATTCTGCCTTCCAAAAATAACAAGATTGTCCCATAAATCTTTATGTCCTAGTTCCCGAATGCTTTTCCTTAATGATGTATCTTAACTGACTCATTTATCAGTGGTGTTTAGTAAACATCACACTTTTTACCAGTTCTTGTTAGCATCTGATTCTGTCTACACCTTTATTTATTTCCCTTAAATTTTTACTTCACAGGCAATGTTTCAGAGTATCTTTAGGGTTTTATTAACCTATTGACTTTATATGACATTTCTTTCAGGATATTAACTCATTCATTTGTCACATATTTGTTGAAAGCTTACTATGTGCCAGACATAGTACTAGGCTGTGAAACACAATGATGAGTAGAATTCAATCCTTGTTTTCTAGGAACTCACATATTGGGGGGCTTTGGAGTTAAAAAGGAGAGAAGTTAAAAAAACATCAAGAGATATACAATATAAACAAATAACAGTATACTATTTACTGCTTTTTCAAGGTACACATCAAACCACTTCTCCCTACTTCACTACTTAAAAACTCTTCTAACCCCTAGTATCTGTACTTTGTAATCCTTTGGTAATGTTGTTAGACTTAGTTGCCATAAGTCAAGTTCTTGCATTGCATTCCTTTGAAAAATAAGAACAACACTTCATAGCATATTGTATAGGATATTCTCTTTTTGCTTCTTCACATCCTTTCCTCGTCATACTCTGTGTCTTAGAGACTGACTGGATTAGCTGAGCTCCCTTACGTTTTGGTGCCCAGTTGGGTTCAGCCAATGGGAAGTATCAACTGGAGATTGGAAACTAGAAAGAAAAAGAGGTCAGGTTGTTCATTCTCTTGGTTCTCTATCTGTAGGATCATTGCTTGACAGTGATTGTATTTCCCCTCTACAGCTACAGTTCAGAAGAGAGAGAGAAGATAGACGGACAGACATACCTTCTCAAGATCTGAGCTTTGGGACCCTTCAGCATGTCAAGCAAGTGGGAAGAACTAGCTAGTGAAACTAAGGAGTAGCCAGAGAGAAATAGTAGGAAACCTGGAAGTACGAGGATCCTGAGAGCCAAAGGAATGGAGTGTTTCAGTGAGGCAGAACATTTTAATTCTTGGTAGATCAAATGAAACAAGAACCTAATAATAATTAACTATTGGATTTAGAAATATGGATACCTTGGGTGACCTTAGTGAATGCTTGGTGGTGTGAATTTAAGCTCAGTTGAATTTAAGCTTTTGAAAGTTCTTCTCTGTTTTCTCAGGGAAATAGAAAGCAGTGCCATAAGGATGAATAGAGAGGAAGTGTAGGAAAAGGAAAAGAACAGAAAAGTCATCCAGGAGAATGAAAGTTAATAGACAAGGGAAATGTAAGGTGGTTTCTGGGTAGAGTTAAGCCCCTTTTTGTAAATAGTAGTCATAAATTTAAAGTGATACCAGTGAGCAGGTACAGTTGCACGTACAGAATAAATGGAGGGTTGGATTTTCACTAAGCAAGTAAAATGAAGTGATGTTGAGGCAAGTTTTGAGTACATACAAGGATATGACCTAGAAAACATGAATGTTTTTGATGACATTATTTGTAATTGCCAAATGTGAAATTGCCCAAATATTCATCTAATGATAAATATGGAATAGAATAATACTCAGCCACAAAATTAAGCATTGGTACATTCTACAGCATGCGTGAACCTCTTGACAACATTATGCTAAGCGAAAGAAGTGAGATGCAAAAAGACATATATCATGATTCTATTTTTATGAAATGTCCATGTTAGGCAAATTGATAGAGAAAAAAATAATGATAAAGTTGTGTTAGGGGCTGGGGATTTAGCTCAGTGGTGCTGCTGCCTGCTTTGCAAGCACAAGGTCCTGAGTTCGAGCCCCGGTTCAAAAAAAAAATGTCAGATAAAGTAGTATTATGGTTGGGGCTGAGAGGAGGAAGACCAGGGAATGTCTGCTAAATGGGAATATGGTTTCTTTTTGGCACAATGAAAATATTCTGGATAGTAGTGATAGTTATACAACTCTGTAAATATAGTAAAACTATTGAATTGTATATTAAAAGGGCACCTTTCATGGTATGTTATCTGTAGCTCAATGAAAATATTATAAAAATAATCAAGTTCACTAGAAATTTACTTATCTCAAACTCAACAAATTACACAGCTCAGGAATTTAGTCTTTTCTATTAGTGTAGGGCTATGGTGAGCAAGAAATGCCTGTATTACAGAGTTTACAGTCTCTTTAGGATTGAAGACTGCAGAGCTCCCTCTGTTGTTGTTTTCCAAACATGGGGTCTGTATTAAAATGTTACTAAGTTACAAAGCTTGTGAAGAGAGACCATCTCTGTCTCTATCTTAATTACTCAATATATTCTTCTCCCTCCAGTTAAACCCTTTAGTAAGCATGTACTACATACCAAACACCAGTGATATAAAGAGGGATTGGACTTGGTGCTTGCCCTTGAGTGTCTAGTAGTGTAGTGGGAAGGTGAGTCTCTTTTATTAGGAACTTGGATGTCATTTGACTTTTAAGGTGAGGCTATTCTAATTGTTCTTCAGCATCCTCCCATTTTGAGCATTTAGATGAAGAACACATTGCAAGCATAAGAAATTTCTTTGAGTCTTCTTTGAACTTGAAACATTCTTCATATTGTCTTTAGACCATTAGACATTCTTCCTCCTGTTAATTCAAAGTATTTCAGCTCATCAGATAAAAGCTGCTGTTTTTCTTTCTCTTGATTCTCTAGACCCAAATATTTTTAAAAATATTATTTAAGAAATAACATTTGAAACTCTGTTGTATGATAGAAAAAGTATGGGCACTGGGGGTATCTGTAAACCAGAAATAATAATGCCTGTTTTGCAGGATTATTGTGAGGGATAGATGTTAATAAGTAATTCATATATAAGAAGTATCATAGTATCTGACACTTAGGAGCTGCTCAGTAAATATACTTTTCACTTTTTCAAAATTTTTAGACACTAATTTAGAATATGGAAGTAAGTTGAGGTTAGAAATACAGGGCTAAATGGACAAACTATTCCAGAGAGGTAGCAGAGAGTTTGCTATTCATTGATGGGGATTAATTGGCATATATATATATATATATATGTGTGTGTGTGTGTGTGTGTGTGTGTGTGTGTGTGTGTGTATATTACTGTTTAATAACTTCTGTTAGTACTTTACATGTTAGATTGTTATACTGTAAAATCTTAGTTCTTGGCTATATTAAAATAAGTATTTGGATAAACCTTTTTAATGACTATGATCTAACTACTTTATACAGTCTGACTTTTGTACTCTCCCTAAATGCATTATTGCCTGCTGGGCTTTTAATTTACTAAATCTTTTGTTACCTTCCTAGAATGGAGCTGGTTTATCAAAATCCAAAGGAAGTAGAATTGGATTTGATAGCACACAGTGGGTATGTACAGTAAATAAATTTCTCAATTACCATGTTTATATAGTTCATTCATTTGTACATTGCTTAAGTATTTGTTGATTGAAGATAGCAATGACAAAAGCTACCTTGGGAATGAGGTAGATAATACCAGGTTTTTATAGAAGTCTTAATTGATCAGTACATACTGTTATTCTAGTTTACTTAACTAAAGGTTAGTTGATTAATAAGTGCCTGACCCAGATTCTGTCTGCCTCTGGAATTCTCATTCACTGATCTGTGATGCTTCCCCCAATGAATGAATATGTGAATCAGAATTAAACTATAAAAAAAGGAAAATCAGTAATTAGGAATAAAAATCTATTCAGCATGTTTCCTTTATAAGATGAGGGAAACTAGTTATATGTGTATTATATCTTTGTTTTGTTTTCCAATTTTTAGAGTCTGCACATTTATAAAATATATTGTTAGCTTTTTTCTAAATTTAGAATGAAAATGCTGCATTACTAATAAATAATACTATTCTGTTAGTATATATTATGGAAAACTATCAGATATTTCTTGTGGATGCAATTTTGATCTTTACTTTCTTTGTATCCAAAGATGTGGAAGGCTTTAGATTAGAATTTCCAAGTCACCAAGTAGTGATTAAGTCATTGCAGGCATCAATTGGATGTGAACTACTGTTTTAAAAGTAAAGTCTGGGATAATCTATTATCAGACTTTAGTCTAGAAATGTCAGTGTGAACTTGTAGTTTATTAAAGACAGCATATATTACTTTATCTAGTCTAGAAATATCAATGTGAACTTGCAGTTTATTAAAAACAGCATATATTTTGGGCTGAATTTAGGTTAGTCTGAGGGTAAAAGGAAGCATGATATTCTTAGACTTTATTTTACCAATTCACTATTACAAAGACTCTAGATTAAATAAAAAATATTTTTGTGCACGTCTTCTAGCCCTTCTCTACCTCCATCCCACTCTTAAGAAACACACACACAAACGTAATGACTTGAACCAGATTTATTTTCCCATGGATTAAATAATATGTTGAAATTTTGAAATTTATTTTTTAGCAGCTGGGAATATGCCTGTCTGAAGGCAGTAGGAATGATCTATCATAAATTTTAACATTCTAAGATGTGATGAAAGTTACAATAACATAAATTTTTCAAATTTATCATTCAGAATCAGCTTCAGTGGGATTAGAAGATTTTGCTTTGTATGGATTAAGCAACAACTTTCTGACTACATCTCCATACCTTTTAGTGAATAAAGCAGAAAGGGAGTACAGATTGATAGATATATTTTATTTTTTGAGATAGGGCCTTGCTGTGTGTTTCCCAGAGAAGTCATGAACTTTTATGCTCAAGTGATCTTCTTGCCTCAGCCTCCACAAATAGCTGGAACTATATAAATGTGCACCATGTCAATTGATGTAGTTTAAAATGAAATTTTTATAGTATATCATTTAAAGCATAAAATAGGGCAACCCCATCTTTTTCATTTGGGGAATGATTCATGAGGTGAGTATAACAGATTTTTTTTAAAGTGCGTACTTCCAAGATAAATAAATTTAAAAGCATTTTGTTACATTAAGTTCTTTGTGTTCTAACTCACTTATATTGCAGGGTACTAAAATAATTGTAATTGTCAATGAATCACTATAATATTTGCAAAATCACAGGAAAGGAAGACATACTGAAGTGCTTTTGTTCTATTCTTCTTAATGAATGAAGAGGAAAATCTGATCAATAGTGTAGTGTTGAGCCCTGATAAATTCTAGAATGAGTTGTTAAGCAGATAACTTGAAACTTAGAAAAGGATGATCATTAGGAGCTGGACTTTTATTAAGAAAAAATCCTATCAAGCTCTTTTAGGTTTTGATAATATTTAATGCACAGGCAATTGAATAGGCTATTTGGTCTTACCATATCCCATTTCAACAAGACATTTTCATTCTTATAAACAAAATGAATTACTGAAGACCAAATGATAATATTCATGTTGATTTAGAATTAGTTGTATTCAAAATCAACTAGAAATCTATTTCCAAGAAGCATTGCTGGCTGTTGGAAATAACTGGAAGCTGTTTTGAGAAGATGAATTGTAGGATCTCTCCTGGTCTTTCTGTAATCTATACTCAAAGTAATGATTGTAATGAAGTAATAATTGTGTTTATTTTTTATTTTTTTTGTCTCCAACAAATTTTATTCACAGAACACAAATATTTTACAAAACCCAAGACCAGAAGTCCAAATATACTTATTAGACAACAAAATGACATTTGTTTAAGATAAGTCAATAGCTGGTTGGCTAAAGACAATCAGTGCAAAACAAAAAGCAGTATTATACAAAACGCCCAGGAGATTGCATCCAATTAGAAGAAATGGAAGTGTGTCACTTTTTTTTCAAATTTCCAATGTAGTAGGACAACATTCAATAATAATGTGAAAAGATGAAACCAGGTAGTTCTGGACAGGGAAATGGGTCCTAGAAAACCCAGAGAGACCCAGAAATGTCTGAGTGGAGAGGGGCCAGCAGAAGGCTCCCCTAGCCTGACAATGCTGCTTCCACCCACAGGACACAAATATCTTACACAGGCATTTGACATGACTGCCTCTGTGCAATTAACAGATCTTTGGTGAAAATCCAAGGCAGACAGGTAAAAATCTACAAAGCAGAAGTATTGCAGCAGAAGCAAACTTGACACATTAAGAAGAAGACTTCTAAGTATGGTGCTTTGTGGAAGAGAGCCTGTGGGAGATGAGGGAATCCATACATAAGAGGACAAGCTTATGAAAGCCCATGTGGCTGAGAATAAAGAGCAAGAACTGAGCCTTTTGCAAGAACTCTTTTCGGGAAGAAATACTAGGGAAATTGTGAAAAAAAAAAAAGACCTTATCCAAAGTTTTAATAATATGGGGCTGAAGTACAGAATACAGAATATGCTGGAAAATTTGGAGCCAACATCAAGAAGGTTCTCCCTTCCAAGAAAAAAGAATTGAAATCTATACCAGGGCTTCTTGTAAAAGCAAGAATCATAAAACTGAACCTGTTTGGAAAACACAAGACAAAGGGCAGGAAGTGAACTAGATTCTCAGCACTTCCTCACATTTTTCCATAGTGGAATATGAAATTCTGAGGAAGAAGTGGAACAACTACCAAATAGGCTTCCTAAAAATAACTTGACAGGAAAATCATTGGGCCTTTTCTCCCTCAAACTGCAACTCCATTTCCCCTATCAGAGCCTCAGTGGCTGTGTATGGCACAGGAGGCCTCAATCCCTCACTGCTGAATCCACCAGGCCCTGTGCATGACAGTGTAGCAAAGTATCCCCAAGGCTCAGTAAAGGCAGAGTCTAACCCAGTAAGCCACAAAGGCTTCCAGCTCAGACACAGGGAAAGTGAGTATATGGGCTGCATGTCTCTGCCCTTTCAGAATGGGGACAAGGAGACTGAGTGTCCCAACCCAAGGTCCTGAAATAGGAGGTTGGTGGACACCTAGGCTCTGCTGCAGTGGCTCATGAGGATGAAATCACTTCCAGTCCATCTTTGGTCAGTATAAAACTATGAGAGAGTCATTTCTTCCCACCACTATGCAGAGTACACACAGGAAAAGCCTGTGGGAACATGCCAGACACAGGCTTGGAGAATACTCCAACTGCATGCCCTTTGCCTAAATGAGACCTCACCATTGCCGACACTACATTGTTCTGTGTCCTGGAAAGCATTCTGTTTAAAACATTGGTCTCTGGGGACAAAACCCTGAGAGCAGGACACCCTGAATTTCTTCCCTGTATCCTGGCTACCCAAAGACCTGGAATCTGCCATAGTACACTTCCTTTGTGACCTTACACAGGGAATTTGAGGCATTTCAGCAGGGTGTCTGGGACACTAATGGGAAAACATTCCAGCAAAGGCTGCTCACCTGCAGAAGTCGCCCCTGGACCACCCGGGTCATTATAAATTTGGAAGCTAATTGTTCACCTCAGTCAATGACAGGTGCTCTATAGAATACCACTTGCTTCTCCCAAAACTTCCTATTACTGAAGTCTGTAAGAGAGACATAGCAGACCTGTCCCTGATGTGTTTTTCATAGTCAACACATACAAAAAATGAACTACACATTGCAAAGCTCTTCCCAGCATCCCAATCCCACCCACCAACATTTTGGTAGGGAAGGGAACATAAGGACGTGCTCCCAAAGAAAATAACTGTGAATTCCCCAAGACCATACTTCTCCTTTCACATTGTAAGGGGCAGGAGACACTGTCTTGAACAAACAAGGTCTGTCACAAGTTTAACACCAAAGTGCTTTGTTCTCTGTCTGCAAGAGCAGCTCTGCACAGTGCAGTTACTGCGGCCAGACCATTGGCCCTCTCCACTGTGACACCCTGAATAAGGGGCCAGAGCCAATGGGGCATTCCATGTTTTCTCATCAGAGCCGCCCTCCTCATTTTGGAGCCTCTAAAGCCTATTGTCTCAGTAAATAACAGAGTGGTTGAAAAACCATATGTGAAATCCACTTACTACATGTGTTGACCTGCCAGTTTATAGCGTTATTGCTAATGCTTCTCATTGCCTGTGTGGTCTCTACATCACCATACTCAGAGGAAATGGGAGAGAAGTTAGTGGTTCAGGAAACTTCCTGTTGAAGGTGAAAAACCATACTTAACAAGCCTTCTTGGACTGGGAATGTAGACAGATTGCATAGCATGTGCAAAGTCTGTGGTCTGATACCAGGAATATCAAACAGGCTTTAGGTGACCAGTGATTAAAACCAGAGGATCTTGAGTTACATAAACCTGGATTGAGTTCCTGCACTATACCATTTTGGATCAGTCACCATGGCAAGGCAGCAATATGTTCTATAAATCTTTAACTGAGTCTTTATAATCCATTCTCTTTTTTCACCTTTATGAGTAAGAGGCATGAAAAAGCATTTTGAGACAAACCTGAGTTTGTCCAGGAATATGTCACACCAGGTACTTTACTGTTCCCACTAGTGAGTGGGCATTCTCACCCACATGCCTGAGGAAACAAAAGTGCCAAGGCTGGCTTAGGCATGCACTTCCTGGAAAGGTCCATGAGCAAAGACTGGCCCTGAATTCAGAGGAGTTGTATCTCTTTCATGGATATCCTGATTCCTGACAGTGCAACCAGATGCAGAAGACACCCTTTAAGATCCCTCTGCCTCAAGATTCCTTCCTGAATGCCAATGCACAGCAGAATTACCCACGAGACGATTCAGTTCAGGCTTCCTCAGAGCATCTCACCCACTACAACACAGTGAATCAAGAGGACTGTGCCACCCAGAGGTAGAGGAATCCAGCGCATGTTTCACACAGAGGGAGAGGAGGCACAGCTCCACTTCAGTGTCACAACTGCTTTCCAATAGCAAATGAGCTGCCCTTGATTGCCACTGCACTGTCTGATTCAGCAGACAGATTTTTCATGGTGTCTAAGGCCTTAGTTTTTCATTGGGTGGGAAATAACAAAGACCCTCATCACCTAAGGATTTCAGGTAATTTGACACATTATCAGCAAAAACAAGAAAAGACAGAAAGAAACTGTCAATGATCTGGGTAAAAGCTACACACTTCAGTTCCTGTGAAAAAAGGACAGTGAAATTTCAGCCCCAAGGAACTTCAGGGTCTCTCATTCCCCCTTTTGAATGAAGGTACTGCAAGTAGCAAATCAGTGGAAAAGGAGAATCCATTTAGTCCAAAGTGAAAGACTCTTTGACAATATCTTAAAGACTAGCGTATGTTTTTCTTTTCCCTTTCAAATTATCAGATTTCACCCCTGAAGTTCTATGCATCAGCCCACCCTGAGTAGAAGTGAATTTATATAAGGAAACAATGAGCAGAGACTTCTCTGGTGCTGCCAAGTAACAGGCCCTCCCTCTCCAGACCTCCCAGTTTACAAATGGTGCCAAGTCCTGAGGGCTCTGGGGAGCTGAGCTCTGTCAGCCTCCATGTGAAGAGTCCAACCTGGGCAACACAGGATGAGTCCAGAAGATGAACAACCCCAGGGTCCTGGCTTTTCTTCCTTCACAGCAGGATTTGTGTGGTGGCTTCCAAGGTGTCCAGGTAGCCACTGAGGAGTCTCCTTGCCCTTCATTTCTTCTTGTAGTAGAAGAATGTGAACAGCACTTCTAGGATCCCCACAGTCCTCGAGTTTATCCTGATGGTCCAGTGCAGTCTGTCTTCCTTCTACCTGACTTGGAGATCACCAGCATAGTGGCTGCCGTGTTGCCACATCCTGGAGCGGAATCAGTAATTGTGTTTATGATATTTCTGTTAAACATTAAGCTGAGATTCACTCAAACATTTAAGCACCTTCTATATACTAGTTTCTGTCATCTCATCGTTTTTCTCCCCAAACCGTTTCTTTTTCTTTTATTTTTCTGGTTTAAAGCACAGAAAAGATTAACCCTAAAATAAAAAAGGTTGATTTGCTATCAAAATTTAAAACTTCTACTCATCAAAAGAGACCCCATTAAGAAAATGAATAGATATGTCACAGACTAGAAAATATTTGCAAAATATGGCAATTGATTTTCAAATGCTAAATGAATCATTCATTCCTGGGATAAACACTACTTGGTCATAATATTACTTTTTTGTCTTTGTTTTAATTACTGGAATTTACTTTCTCATATTCTATTAAGTATTTTTATATCTGCATCCATGAGGATGGGGGTCTATAATTTTCTTTTTTTGTAATATCCTTGTCAGATTTTGCTGTTGTATTACATTGACCTCATAAAATCAACTTGGAAACTGCTGATTTCAGTTTTCTGAAAGCTTTCATAAAATTTATATTCTTCCGTAAAACTTTGATAGAATTCACCAGTGAATCACCCGAGTCTCGAGTTGTTTTATTTTTTAGGGCAGCTCTTTTGTTTTTAAATGATAAATACAGTTTTCTAAAGAGGTATAGGGCAATTCAGATTTCTTGTTATCTTTTTTTAACTTTATGAAAAAATAAAACTTCATAACAAAATAAGAGAATACCAATAGCTGATGATACACTGTGTATCTATCATTATCTTCAAAGTAGTTACTCAGAGTACAAGACATACACTGCTAAGATTCTTACAAAAAAGAAATAGATAATAATAGAAAACTTTCTGTTATAGTAGTTTTGTTAGATTGTAGTTTTAAAGAAAGTTGTCCATGTCATCCAAGTTGGTAATTTTTTTTTGACATAAAGTTGTTTATTTTAACTTCTTACTTAGCTGCCTCTCCCACTAAGAAATAAGAGACCCCTCTAAGGCAGAGATTATTATATCCTTAGAATTTGTGTAATAGTCTACACTAAAAAGAAATGACTTATTCCTATCTTTATCTCATTATTTTTCTATTCTTAAAACTCTCAGTATCATTGTCTATTTAGTATCTTCTATATAAGTTCCTTCAATTTTGTGAATTACAGTTTTTTAAAATGCATTTTTAATTCCTTGAAGCACCTTTTTGATATCTTGTACATTCCTTTAAATTTCATGTTAATGTATATCAATTATTCTACTTATCTTTCCTACTCTTCATCGTTTACTCAAAGGTGTAATTTAACCTGTTTTCATTCTGATTTTGAAATTTCTCTTTTCAATACAAGATTCTACTGTCCAGCAGAATTATATTAAAAAAATTGAAGTATTACTAGAAAATCCTCTATATATTGGAATGATTGAGTAGGCAATGTATTTTGTTTTGAATTTTTTGCTTAGAAGTGTTACTAAACAAATTATAAATAGAAGCATATGATACACAATTTATTTTTAATTTTGAAAAGTTGATGTTACAGCTTTTAAAAGCTGACATCTAATATTCCCCCAGTTTGCTTGAAAATATATAGCAGATACCAAGAGAATAACTTGTAAGCCCAAAGTGTTTTTATCTCAGATACCACTTTTTCTTTCTTTTTATGTTAATGAATAGCTTACTGTTCTGTATTTTTACGTTTTACGTAGTTTTAGTATACTTCACATATTTCACCTTGTGTTATAAATATTTGTTTATCTTCCTTAGAAAATGGTACTTTTTGAGTGCAGGAACCACAGATGTTATTTACTTATTTTTTTAGTACAGTGGTAAGCATAGCATCTATTGGGTAAACACTGTACATTCTTATGAAATTAATAAATAAAAATTCAATAAGTTGTATTGATTTAACGGTATTAAGGGAATTGTTTTCTTTTCAAACAGCGTGCAGTTAAAAAGTTTATTATGCTGACATCCAGCCAAAATGTACCAGTGTTCCTTATTGATCCTTTGATTCTGGAACTGATTAATAAAAACTTTGAACAAGTAAAAAATATTTCTTATGGCTCTGCTTCAGAATGCAAGTTTTTCTGTGTTCAAAGAGACTTTACTACATTTGCACTACAGTATCATCTATGGAAAAACGAGGTAAGTTGGTTGTTTTTAGATATGGACTGTATGTGTCTTAGAACAGTATGGGATTAAATCAGGTTAAAATGTAAAATTTTAAAATTTTTCTTAAAACTTTCTGTAAATTGTTTTATAAACAACAATATAATGGCTAAAGTGTATAGGTGTATTTTTCTTGTATAACGAGAAGTTAAAAAATCAAGCAGATTGTATCACTGGTGGTACATGCATGCCTGTCCCGTGCACCCAATGAGATAATCGTGCATGTACCACCAGTGGCCACAAGACACACAAATTACAGCCCCATTGTGAACATATTAATTCTAGGGGTTCTTTGGTGGAGTTTTTGGGGTCTTCTGTGTAGAGGATCATGTCATCTGCAAACTGATAATTTAATTTCCCACTTTTCTATAAATATTCCTTTTATTTCTTTCTCTTGTCTAATATCTTTGGCTAATGTTTCGAGAACTATATTGAATAGCAACGGTGACAGTAGACATCCTTGTCTTGTCTTGATTTTATTTCGTGTTTGGTTCTAGGGATCGAACTTGGGTCCTTGCACTTGCAAGGTAGGTGGCATAACCACTGAGCTAAATCCTTGGCCCATGTTCATGATTTTAGAAAGTAAACTTTCAGCTTCTCTCCATTTAATAAGATGTTGGCTCTTGGTTTGTCATAGACAGCTTTTAGCAGATTGCAATACTTTCTACACCTATTTTCTTCAGGATTTTTATCATGAATGGATATTGGATTTTGCCATGTGCTTTTTCTGCATCTATTGAGATAATCATGTGATTTTTGTCCTTGCTTCTGTTTATGTGATTTGTTACATTTATTAATTTGCATGTGTTGACCTTATATCCCTGGGTTGAAGCCTGCTTGGTCATGGTGTATGATCTTTTTGATGATTTGTTGCATTCTGTTTGCCAGTATCTTGTTGAGGATATTTACATGTGTATTTATTAAAGAGATTGACCTATAGTTCTCTCTTTTGGTTGGGTCCTTTTCTGGTTTGGGAATCAGGGTAATATTTGCTTCTAGGAATGAGTTTGGGAGTACTAGTTCCCTATTTCGTTAAAGAGTTTGAAGAGTATTGGTGTTAGAACTTTTCTAAAATTCTAGTAGAATTTGGCAAGTGAATTCATCAAGACCTGAGCTTTTTTCAGTTGGTGGTTTTTAAAATTTTGTAATTTCTTTGATAATATTGGATTATTTGGGATATTTATATCTTCTTGATTCAACTTTGGTAGTTCATAGGTATCTAGGAGCCTATCGATTTCTTCTGAATTTTCTTTATATTTTAGTAAAGGTTCTCAAAGTAGTTATCCATGATCTTCTACATTTTAACAGAATCTGTTGTGATTTCACCTTTTTCATTTCTAACTGCATGGATGTTGGTCTTCTCTTGTTTTGGTAACATTGGCTAAGAGTTTGTAATTTTGTTGAGTGTTTCAAAGAACCAGCTGTTCAATTCATTGATTCTTTATATTGTTCTTAAGTCTCAATTTCATTTATTTCTGCTCTATCTTCATAATTTCCTTCCTGGAGCTAGCTTTGAGTTTGGATTGTTCTTGTTTTTCTATGCTCTTAGAAATAATGAAAATGTTATTTTATTTGAGTGCACTCTGTTTTCTGATGTGGGCATTCAAAGCTATAAACTTTCCTCTTCGGACTGCTTTCATTGTGTCCCACAGATTTCACTATGTTTTATTCACATTATCATTTGATTCTAAGAAATGTGTAATTTCTTCTTAAATTCTTCTGAGACCCATTGATTATTCAAGAGAGTATTGTTTAATTTCCATGTGTATAAAGAATATCTGGAGGCATATACTCCACTGAGCCACAATAAAAAAAAAAAATGTACACCTAGACATATAATAGTCAAGATCCCAGAAACCCAACAGAAGAACAAAATCCTACAGGCAGTTAGAGAAAAGAAACAAGTCACTTATAAAGGAAAGCCCATCAGAATCATGGCAGACTTCTCATCCCAAACCCTCAAATCAAGGAGAGCCTAGAGTGAAGTATTTCAAGCCCTAAAAGAAAGTAACTTCCAACCTAGACTGTTGTATCCTGAAAAATTATCTTTCAAAATTGATAGGGAAATTAGATACTTCAGTGGCAAAGAACACCTGAGAAATTTCATGAACACTAAACCAGCACTCCAAACAATTCTAAGCAATATCCAAGAAAAAGCCAATGAAGGTCACAACTCCATGAGGCTCAACGGAGGGAAGCCACCAGGTAAGGTGAGAAACTAAAGGGAAAGGGGGAAAAAGAAATAAGAGCCAACAACAATAAAACATCATGACAAGGATGAGTCAATATCTATCAATTATAACTATCGATGTGAATGGCCTCAATTCAATCAAAAGAAGTAGACAGACTGGATTAAGAAGCAAAATCCAGCAATATGCTGTATACAAAAAACACACCTAACTCAAAAAGAAATTCATAGACTTAAAGTAAAAGGATGGAAAATGGCTCTCCACAGAACAGGAACCCAGAAAAAAGCAGGGGTAGCAATCTTATTTTCAGACAAAGTAGATTTCAAATCAAAATTAATTAAGAGAGACAAAGATGGTCACTACACCCTTGGGAACAATCCAAGAGGAAGAGACGACAATCCTAAATATATATGCACCAAATATGAATGCCCCCAACTGTACAAAACAAATATTAATGGACATGCAAAACCAAATAAGCACTAATACAATTGTAGTGGGGGACCTCAATACCCCACTATCACAAATAGATCATCTAGACAAAAAATTAACAACGAAATTCAAGAACTGAACCAAGCTATTGAACAAATGGACTTAATAGATATTTACAGAGTGTTCCACCCCACAAAATCAGAATACACATTCTT